CACAACCACCATCACCACCATCACCAGCACCATCGCCATCACCACCACCATCGCCATCACCACCACCATCACCACCACCATCACCACCACCACCACCATTGCCATCACCATCACCATCGCTATCGCCATCACCATCGCCATCACCACCACCATCACCACCATCACCACCACCATCACCACTACCATTGCCATCACCATCACAACCACCATTGCCATCACCATCACCACCACCACCACCATCACCACCACCATCGCCATCACCACCACCACCACCATCACCATCACCACCACCATCACCATCACTACCACCACCACCATCGCCATCACCATCACCACCACCATCACCATCACCACCACCATCACCATCACTACCACCATCACCATCGCCATCACCATCACCATCGCCATCACCACCACCATTGCCATCACCATCACCATCACCATCACCACCACCATCACCACCACCACCACCACCATGATGCCTGCCCTGTCCTGAGGCTCAGGATCCAAAGACCCAGCCCTGGTCTCAGCACCGTGGCCTCGCTCACTCCCTGGGGTACCCACTGCCCCAGGCTTGTCTTTTCCCCAGAAAGAATAAAAAGGGAAAAGATAAAAAAAAACCACCAAGGTGTCTTTCAGTGTAGAAAATCTCAATCCTGCAACCCTTTTGTTTGCCGAAGCTGTTTGTTTTTCCTGTTGCTCCAGTGAAGTTTCAGAGGAGTGAATTCCAATTAACTCCACGAGTGTTTGTCCCTAAGAAACCATTCAGGAGACACAAGGAGCTGTGGGTGCCCGCAGGCGTATCAGCCTCGCAGGAGAGGCAGGCACTGCAGAGAGACCCTTCTGCAGCGCTCACAAGTGCCCCGATCCTGCCAGCACTTGAGTGCTGCGGAGCCTGCGACGGGGAGGGAGGTCTAGACAGGAGCTAAGCAAGACAGAATGGAAATTGTTTTCATTCCTGGGTTAAAGAGACCTGAAGAAAAAAAAAAAAGTAATTCTCACTTGTCCTTGTGGCATATGCACGGGAAAAAAAAAAGCCCATTTTGAATAACTGCACCGTGTTGTTTTTAAAGGCCACATGCATCTTCTGTCTCACACGGAATAATTTCCTTCTCAAAATTACATTTCCCGTCCTCACCTTCAGATCCTGGGACGGGAATGGCTGGCTGAGAGGTGTCTGTAGCTCCTGCAATTCCCTGCCTGCCAGACAGTGGGAGACCCTGTGGGCTGGATGAGCTGGAGCCGGGGGCTGCCCTGTGCAGCAGGAGCCAGCACTGGGGAACGGGAGGGAACGCTCCCGCTGCCACGAGGCTCCGACGGCTCCGTCTGCCTCGCGCCGGAGGGGCAGCAGGGACCCAGCCAGAGAGAGACAGGGCTGTGCCTCAGCCCCAGCGGGTTCTGTGTCCCCGTACCTGGTGTGCTCCTCCTGCCCTGCGCCGCCGCTCTCCGCTGGGACGCTCCCGCTCCGCGTGTGCCGAGCCACGGCCCGGAGCTGCCGCAGCACCACGGCCTCCATCGCCTCCGGGTCATCCTGAGCCGGCCCCCCGGCCCCAGCACTGCAACACAAACAGGGGGGACAGCCCCGTGAGCACAGCCAGCCCGGGGATGGGACAGCCCCGTGAGCACAGCCAGCCCGGGGATGGGACAGCCAGGGACAGACAAACATCGCGGTGACACACGTGGGACACCACAAGGAGGTCACACTCGCCACTTGGAACGTGCCAGGCGCACCCTCCCAGCGAGAGGGAAGCTGAACATGTCCCCTCCGGTGGCAGGCTGGGGGGTCAGACCTGTTTGGGAACCCTCTCCCTCACTGGGAACCCTCTCCCTCATTGGGAACCCTTTCCCCCTCATTGGGAACCCTCTCTTCCTCATTGGGAACCCTTTCCCCCTCATTGGGAACCCTCTCCCTCACTGGGAACCCTCTCTCCCTCACTGGGAACCCTCTCTCCCTCATTGGGAACCCTCACCCTCATTGGGAACCCTCTCCCTCATTGGGAACCCTCTCCCCCTCATTGGGAACCCTCACCCTCATTGGGAACCCTCTCCCCCTCATTGGGAACCCTCTCCCCCTCATTGGGAACCCTCTCTTCCTCATTGGGAACCCTCTCTCCCTCACTGGGAACCCTCTCTCCCTCACTGGGAACCCTCTCTCCCTCACTGGGAACCCTCTCCCCCTCATTGGGAACCCTCTC